TGACATTTCAGAAGCAGATCATCATGCCTCACCATGAGTCCGAGTTGACTCCCACACCCAACTACTGTTAACTTTTAGGTTTATAAACTTAAACTAGGTTTAATCTTACAATTAAAACTTTTAGGTTTATAAACCAAGAGGATTTAACGTTTTCAGAGAATGGTTACTGTAACCCAAAAAGCGAGAGGAATAGTTGATTAGTTTTATGTAATCTGGAGGGACTTTTATTTCGTTCTTTGTACTTCCTATAATCTTTCCATTTTTTATAATGCACATATTTTGTGATGGGGCAGGTGCTTAAAAACAGGTATTAGGTTAACATCATCATTTTCACAGAAAGCTTCCACATTTGATTTGATGTCAAATGAAAATCTAATCCCAAAGTCAAAAGAAAGATTTTGCATCAAGCGAAGTGGAATCATATGAACCGTGGTTACCAAAAGCATTTTATTAACCTGTCTGTATGTGTGACTTAGTGAGTGAAAACAACAGTCGTGCCTGCCCTAAGGGGCAGAGTAGAACAGTGGAGAAACCTGGGCTATGACTCTGCCTCTCTGCCCCTAATCAACTTTGTGATCTTACCAAGCCACCTACCACCTCCGAAGCTCAGTTTCCACATCTGCAAAATGAGGAGTTTGGACTAGTATTACTGGAAAAACCACCAACAAATGCACAAACTAAACGTAGTACTTATGGTCTATGAAAGCAAAAGGGCAAATGCATCTTAAAAAGTAGCAAACCCAGGGGAAATCGGTGTGCTTCATGTTTGAGGATAATTACCACCGTACTTCCATCATGCGTTTGCCATTACTTCAAGGTTTGTAAATAAAGGCTCAAAGTGAAGGAAAAATTCCATCCTCCTTGACTAGTTCTCATACGGGTCTCAGATTTCAAATCTGGGACCCTTGAAAAGAAGCAGTCCAGCTGATCGTAGCTGCCATAAGGATACAAAGTGAAAGACGAAACCTCTAAGATAATTAAAGTTTTAATCCACACTGAATAGATGTAATTCAACATTTCAAAATATGCTTTGAAACAAACAAACAATATGGGAGGAAACCAGGATCTATTATTCCCTCCTCTGCCACGAATCAATTCTGTGACATTGGACAAGTCACTTAATTTCTTGGGACCTTATCAATAAAAAAGGGGATAATGATATCTTACTTGCCTACAAACAGAAGGCTGGACCACATGGTCTCCTGAGGTCCTTACAGTAGCTCAGGGCTCTGTTATTCCAAAGAGCTGATGCAAGCAAGAAAGCAGAGGGATAGCTCAGACCTCTGAAGCAGGCTTCATGATGAAATTGCCAGTGATCAATTTCAATTTTTGGTTAATTTTCTAAAGTAGCTTTTCTTGCCAGGCCAGACAAATTCAATATACCTAGCTAGGGAGTCCAAGATGTGTATAAGCTATCGTTATTCTAAATCTCCCTTTGGCAAAGTATTTACCTTAAGAAGCATTTAGGACTTTAGTTGAAACTTATTCTTGGGGGAGAGGAGAGTCTTTGATTATTTAAATGGAATCCATCTGGCACAGACGTAGCAAATCTTCCCCTCTCCATCTCAAGCTGATAGAGCACTCAGTCTAGCTGACTATCGCCAGCTGGGCATTCTGGCTGTAATGTTAAGTGACGGTGGTTTGATTAATCATCAGCCTGGGATTAATGGCCAGCCAGGATTCCACGTCAGCGATTTCTAAGAGCTCAGTTACCCACTATAACGTTGGAGCATCACAGTCCTGGGCTATCTCATTCCTAAGAGGATGGCATTTCTTCTGCTAGTAGATGGTCTAGAGGGTGACTTTAGTTCTGTTTAATTTAATTTAGCATCTTACGGAGAGTGTATTGCCGCTTTCTAAAAAGGCCCCAGTCCTACAACATGTCGCCTGTAAATATAATGACAAGTTTTGTATGATGGCTACAAAAGGAATTTGGAGGTCATTGACCAGTAGGGAAGTTTATCCCAGCATTACATAGCATATGGACAAACTGCAAACAAACTGTCTCAAAATTGGAGGATTTTTAAAATTTATGTTGCAACCACAATTATGCAGTCATAAAAAGTGCTGCTATGTGAATGGGGAAGTTAAGAAAGCAGGATATTAAATATAATACCAATCATATAAGATCAAAGATAGAGAGCTGGATAGAGATCAATTGGCAAAGAGAAAAACAAAACTAGAAGGACATACTCCAAAATGTTAACGGTGGTTATCTCTGGGTAATAGGATTACTATCATTTAAATTATCTTCTTCAACCTTTTCTATTTTTTTGGATTCTCTAGAATTAGATTGCATTATTTTTAAAACTAGAAAACGGACTTTTAAAAAGAGTAGTTTCACCAATGTGAAGTGAATTTCTGGAAAATCCCCTGGTATACAGTAATCCATTGCTGTCCTGTCCTCTCCGACTCATAGTGACCCTATAGAGTAGAACCACCCGACAGGGTTGCCCCATAGGGTTGCCCCATAGGGTTTCCTAGTCTGTAATCTTTTTACAGGAGCAGACCACCAGGTCTTTCTCCCGCGGAAGGGCTGGTGGGCTGGAACCGCTGACTTTCCGGTTAGCAGCGAAGCGCTTCACCATCCTGCCACCAGGGCTCCTCAGCCTTACACTGTTGTCGTGTGTCAAGTCATTCTGATTCATAGCGACCTTACAGGACAGAGGAGAACTGCCCCATAAGGTTTCCAAGGCTATAAATATTTACAGAAGCAGATTACCACATCTTTCTGCAGAACAGAGCGCTAGCGGGTTCCAACGCCAACCCTTCAGTTAGCAGCCCAGCAGCCAAGGACTGAACCACTGCACCACCAGGGCTCCTGGCAAGGGTTTGACTACAGAAAATAGCACCTAGGGCAATTAGTGTTAAATTACTGAATGACCTCTCACAGCTGGGGAGGGAAACTGTGATGACCAATAGACATTGCTCATTGGCGCCCCACCTCAAGCGAGCTCAAGGCACATCCGCCCGTTAGCTGCCCCGCCCACCCAGTTAGGCCTCTGCGCATCGTGGTTCCAAGGCTGGTGGTTTCAACCGGTGGCCTTCCGGTTAGCAGCTGAGCGCTTAACAACTGCGCCACCAGGGCTCCCTGTATACAGTAAACATATTATTTTAAATGAAAAAGGTATCCTACCCAGACAGAAGTCCTAGAGAAGAACATCAGGATCGAGATAATGGCAAAGTACCAAAGCAGGAAGCTCCCTATTACCACACAAGAGTCATCCTTACGGCATTCATAATCCTGATTTGGAATGGTTAAAGGTTTGGGAGGAGGATCCATCTCCCAAAATAAGGAAAAAAGGTCTCCCATGATGGCGTCTTGCTTAAAGCTAAGAAAACATGCTCAAAGGAAGAGGATGACTGGGAAGTATTTCACTCCATGATGTATGACAACTTCCTTGGCAACCTATTATGACATGCACTTTAGCAACTGTGACAGGAACTGACCAATGCTTCTAGGATTTCTAAAAGTTTTTGGAAGAATTAATCTAAGTTACTTCCGCAAACGTTTATGATGTTTTCCCCGGTACCTCAATATTGGCGCAATCTGTCTTAATCTTTTTTTTTCTCCCTGAAACTTGTATACACTGTATTTTTGTGTTTTTAAAATCTAAACCTCTGAGGTATCCGTTCATTTTTTTTAGTCTTTTTTATATGCATAATACCATAGTAAATTAACATACACAGTTCTAATGCCAACTATACATCGGATTTCGATGGTAGTGCTTAAGCCTTGAATAAATGCACAAAAACATAGATCACATTAAAAGGGAAAATAGAGATGTGTCTGTTATGAATGACATCAAATGTATACAATTTCCTAGGAAAGAGTCAGACTGGGGGGAGGGTAAGTATTCTAATTTGACTGTACATAGAACCCTTTCACTTTGAACAATTTTCAAGTTGGTTCATCTCTAAATCGAAAACTAGTGCAAAACACCACTGCTGTTAAAGCAATCTAAAAATGATAAAAATCCACTTAAAAAAATACGTTAGATCTTTAAAAGTATAGCATACCTGCGGATTTTCGTTAACATGCAATGCCGCGAGAAACTTCTTTTTTCTTGTGTTTGACCTTAGGAGCATTTTAGGAATAACTGTGGTCATTGGGAGGTCCATGATGTAATTAATAAGCCACTAATTTGTGACACGGCGTGATGTTTTTATAGGGGCACCCTTCTCCGCATCCCAACGGCGAGTCTCCAGGTCCTGCGTTTCCTGGCTGTTGGACGTCTACCTTATCCCTGCGTGGCCTCCTCCAGGAAGCCCGTGGGGAAGCCCACCCCACCTGCCCTCCTTGTGCACCTGGCGCTGAGCTCCTCCAGGCAGTAACCAAGGAGCTCTTATTTTTATACCCCCGCGCCTGGTCAGGGCGCATTGCAGGCGTTTGTATGTGTTAAATAAAAGCAGACTGAACTCCCTGATGAACGTTTTCCTAAGGATTAGAGGAAATTCTGCCAAAGAATATGCAAGAAAAATAAAGATTTTTTTTTCAAAACCTCAAAATCACTAACAACTTCAAGAACAGAACACATTTATCTGGAGATTTTGGGTTTTCTTGTTATTGCTGCACCCTCGTTACACGGATATTTAGGAGTTTACATTGGGTCAGGACACTTGATTTTGTTGTTCTGTGTTCTTACAGGGAGGTAAGAAAAGCTTTGTCATTGCTGACGGTGTCTGGACACATTACCAAGTACTCTGTATCCTACAATTAATAACCCTGCTTGATAAAATCTGCGAAAAATGTGACCATAGATACCCTAAGGAAGCTAAAATTTTATATAATTATATATATGCATATATACATATATATACACATAATATTCAGCTTCGCAGCTTCTTAGAGTTATTACTTTTTTCTGCTGGTTGAGAACCAGGTCTTAACGTAGCATTCAGCTTTCTGCCCCAGAGCTGTTTCCTTGGTAACGTTCCTAGCCTCCGTCCCGCCCTCATCGCCCTCTTCTCGCGAGAAGAGGTGAGACGGTCCTTCCGGTAACCGGCTCGCCAGCCACCTCTTAACACTCTGCTTTGCGCATGTGCGATGGGGGGGGTTACGAGCCCGCGGCTTCTCGCCGAAGACTATGGTGCGTGTTCGGGGTCATCCTTGTGCTTCTTGGACGTGAAGTCCACGCGGGCTGTAGAAGCTCCGCGCCTGCTGATCTGTGGGGGTCTAAGCTAAGGGAGAATGTGGCGGGTGTCACGCCACCCGTATTGAAAGAGAGGAAAGAAGCAATGGGGGTTGCTAAAGTTTGTGCTGAGGGAGCCGGCGAGGGAATCTCGCAGAATGGGGAGCTTTGACGCGGGGCTGGGTGGCGGGAAGGGGACGGCTCTATACCCAGTAGGATACGACTCCATATAGTTGGAACAAGTTTTACACTTGTCTGCAAGAGTTGAGGTCTGGCAAAACAAAGGAAATATAAATCCCAATGTGGACCAAAACAAGGCACTTCCTTTCCCTTCACACAATGGGTGCTTGACCTTGTCAAAACTTGGCATGGACAACTCTATCAGCAACACAAAACGGAGGTCCCTGGCATACACCGCCGAGGGCAGAGCTGTTTCATGTAGCAGGAGAGCTTTTATGGCTTATATTAAATATTTTCTCCTCAGACTTGGTATTTTGAGTTTCTTAAATTCGCCCTTGGGCTAGTTCTTGTGACATACTCCAAAAATAAAATACGGTGTAATTGCAGACATAACTTTCTAATCCCGAAATCACAAAATAAGATGTTTTATTTATTGGAAGTACTAAATTCTCTGAAGGAATTAACCAGTTCTCTGTTGATTACACTATAGTGCCGTCGAAGGCATAATTTAGGGTTCCCTTTTCATATATTAATATGTAAAGGCATTGGTAAGACATTTTATAGACGAGGAATGGGTATGTGCTATTTTTAGTTACCTTTATAAAGGACACAAACGTTTGAGTTCTTACATGGGGGAGTAGTTTGTTTTTATTAATTCCTGGACTTTTTTGTCTTCAAATAGATGCAAGGGGAACCCAACCCTAGTGCTTCCCTTATTGACAGAACCATCAAGATGAGAAAAGAAACAGAAGCCAGGAAAGTGGTTTTAGCCTGGGGGCTCCTCAATGTATCAATGGCTGGAATGATATATACGGAAATGTAAGTTAGTTAACCAAAAAAAACAACAAAACAATGAAAAATGTAAGAAGCCAGTGGCTGGTTCCATAGGTTTTTGTGTTTGTTTTGTGGTTTTGTTTTTTTGAATAATGAAAAAGCCTTTTTAATTTTTTCAGGACTGGAAAATTGATAAGTTCATATTATAATGTGACATACTGGCCCCTCTGGTATATTGGTAAGTAAACAATTTTCACTGTAATTTAGATTTACTACCAATGAAAAACTGCATCAAGTTTATTTCAGCTTAGAATTCGTTCCTTCATTCAACAAATATTTGAGTTCCACTATGTTCCAAAAACTGGGACTACAACAGGAAGGGAACAAGATAAACCCTGCACTCATGGAAAGAACATTCTATTAGAAGAGACAATCAGATTAATAAACAGCACAATTTCAGATAATCATGAGTTCTGTAAGGAAAAATAAAGTTTGGAGATGGCGGGTTTTGTATTTGTTACTCTCCCTGAAATACCCTCCCTACTTCCCTGCCTAGTGAAAATCTTTTCATCTTTCAAGGCTATTCCAGGTATCTACTCCCTTGATGCTTTCCTCAATTTCCTTTTTTCCTCCTCTCCTCTGTCTGCTATTCCACAGTCCCTGGGTATAAAGAGTGTTCATGGATATTAAAGTGAATTCCATAGTCTAATAGGCACTTTAATCTAAAGTCTGTGGTGGGGAGATGGTGTGGCAAGAGGAATACCGAGGGCTTTGGAATCTGCAGGCTTGAGTTAGAATGGTGGCTTCACTAACTAGCTGTGTGATTTGCCAAAGTCACTTGGCTTCTCTGAGACTGTTGACTCATCTTTAAAATGAAAGTGATAATATTTATCATACAAGGTTGTAAGGATTAATAATAATAGTTTGAAAGTCACTAGTAAATGCCCTACACGTAATAGATATTCATTAAATGGTAGCTGTTATGAGTAATAAAGAGGTGGTTTTGGAGTTTTTATTGTTGGTGTTAATTTGCTAAAGTATGGAGGGTTTTGTCCCCCCACACTCTGTGTCTTTTTTAAAAAATAAATTGTTGTCTCTTCCAGAACTTGCCCTTGCATCTCTCTTCAGCCTGAATGCCTTATTTGATTTTTGGAGATATTTTAAATATACTGTGGCACCAACAAGTCTGGTTGTTAGCCCTGGACAGCAAACACTTTTAGGGTTGAAAACAGCTGGTAGGTGTTTTATATCTCTCACAAAAGGGAGAAAGGTTGGCAATAAATCTTTCTCAGTTTAATTTTTCCTTTTCATAGACTCAGAGTTGGAAGGGCCTTCTGAGGCCATCTAATTCAAGTATATTAATCAGGTCTGCAATAAGTTGTCTTAAAGCCAATGATTATCATTCCTATTTGGATAAATGGAATGGAATGAACATTCAACAGCCTCATGGAAGTTTGTTCCATTGTTCAATTAAAATTAAATGAGTAACTCTTGTTGCACTGAAGCCAATTTTTTATCATTTTGAACTCCGTGGAAATAGTAAACTAAGTTGTGGTTCTTTGGTAATAATGCTTCATGTAATTTAACAACCAAGTCACTTCATTACTTTCCTTTTTTGTGAAGAACAAGACTCAGTTCCTTAAATCTGTTTTCAGATTTTTTTTTTCTGTTGTTTTTTTTTTTTTTTCATTCTAGTTGTGCAAACGACTCCTCCACATGATCTTGCAGCAACCCAAATCCCTTCCTCTCCACCTTCCCCTTCAATTCAGGGTCAGAGTGTGTTGAGTTATAGCCCCTCTCGTTCACCCAGCACCAGCCCCAAGTTCACCACCAGCTGTATGGCTGGATATAGCCCTCAACTGCAAGGTCTGTCATCAGGTAGCAGTGGTTCGTACAGCCCTGGAGTGACCTACTCGCCTATCAGTGGTTATAATAAGGTAATAACTCTTTTCTCTTGGCCAGCGACATGGGTTTAGAATTGGGAGGTACCTTGAAAATCATCTAGTGAGTCAAAACTTCTCATTTTATAGATGAAGAAATTGAGGAACAGTGGGAAATTGACTTGCCCAAATTGCCCATTTAGTAAAGAGCCGCAGTTTCCTAGTCAGAAGTTCTTCACACCACATCTTAAAATGAACAAGAAAAAAATTAGCATTTGCAATGATAAGCAACTGAGGTTCCCCATCTAGATCTTTCAATTTAAAAAACAATGGTAGCTATAATGTTTTATTTTAGTTTCCTTGACTCACGTTTTCCCTCTTTCTTTGCTTCTTTATGTGAAGCCTTTGCATATCTGTATTGAACTGTAATGCTTTTCATCATGTTGGAGTGTCTTCTGAAAACTAAGTTTGTCTTGTAGTTTGACTTGAGCTGGCCTTTCCAAGCAACCTTCGTTCCAACTCCCACCATAGTGTGAACTTCTGTTGTAATTTTTAGGCTGGATAGAAGCAAAATTAACAGATAGGAAATTGTGACTCCTATCTGAAGCATAAGACTGTAAGATGGGCATTAAAAGGGGGATGGTCGCATTTTCAGATGCTTTCAACTGTTGTGTTGGACTGACATCTCTCTGGCTACTTGTTAAAAGAGGAACATCTGGAAATAAAACCAATACCATATCTGCCTTTGCCCTTTTATATAATATTTCTATGTCCATTTCCTCATAATATTTAACTTATACAAAGTTCTGTAGGTTTTATTACCTGCCAAAATTGGGATTAATATACTGGGTAACTTGTAGTATGGAATTTTCTACAAAGATAGGAGTATAACTTAGTGCAGCATTTTCATTTGATAGAATAGGAATATGTGTTCAAAGTGTTCATATGCTTTGACCAGATAATTTCAGTTTTAGTAATCTGTCCTAAAGGAAGCGATCAGAAATTCAAGCAAAGAGTTATGTACAAAGATGTTCATCATAACATTATTTACAGTAGCCAAAACTTGCAGACAGTCTAAATGTCTAGAATAAGAGAATGTAAAAAGAAGTTATGGTATATTCATACAATAAAATATTATACAGCCAGTAAGAATAATGTTTATAAAGGATTTTTATAGGAAAATACTTTTTAACTTAAATTTTAAAAAGTATGTAAAGTTAAACAACGTTGTCTCAATTACGTAAAAACAAAAATACATTGACGTAGCTATGTACATTTTAAAGATTTGAAAATACATAAAATGTGTAAAAGAATTATCTCTGGGTGGTAAGGTTATAGGTGTTGCTTATTTTTTATCCTTTTTTTTTAAAAAAAAAAGCATGTGTTTTAAAGTCAAGCAAAATAGAAGTATATTTTCAGTCAAAGGAAAAAATAAAGTTCTTTTTTTATTGTGGTAAAAATATATATAACAAAACATTTGCCAATTCAGCGTTTTTTACATGTGTAAGCCAGTGACATTGATTATGTTCACCATGTTGTGCAACCATTACCAATACACTTTATAGTCACTGTGAGTCAGAACCGACTTGACGGCAACGGGGTTGGTTTAGTTTTGGGTTTCCAAATTATCCTGCTACAATTAATAGAAACTTACTGCCCCTTAAGCAGTGACTCTCCCTTTCCCTGTCTCTCCCCCTCCTGGTAACCACTGATCTTTAATCTCTGTACATTTGCCCGTTTCATATAAGTGGAATTACATATTTGTCCTTTTGTGACTGACTTATTTCACACAGCATAATGCTTTCAAGATTCGTTCATCCATGTTGTAGCATGAATCACAGATAAGTTTCTTTTATTTTGTGTAGTTGGCAAGCTACAGTCCCTCATCCTGTTCTTCTCCATACCCTACCACTGTTGGACCAGTGGAGAGCAGTGGGTTGAGATCTCGCTATCGTTCTTCACCCATCGTCTATAACTCACCGACGGACAAAGAAGACTACATGACAGACCTCCGAACTTTGGACACTTTTCTGAGAAGTGAAGAAGAGAAGCAACATAGAGTTAAGCTGGGTACATACATATTTTATTTAGATCTAATGTACATATTTTTGATGTCACTTTACATAATTCTTAGACTATTATTTTCATTACTTTGATACCGGTATATAAATTTTTCCCCTCTTGGCCAGATGATGATCTTTTTTCTTTTTCTCACCTTTTTTTTTTTTTTTTTTAATTTCATTGTGTTTTAGGTGAAAGTCTACTGCTCAAATTAATTTCTTATTCAAAAATTTATACACATATTGTTTTGTGACATTGATTGCAGTTCCCACAATGTGACAGCATGTTCCCCCTTTCCACCCCAGGTACCCTGTGTACATTCGTCCAGTTCCTGTCCCTTTTTACTTTCTCATCTTTCCTTTGGGCAGGAGTTGCCCATTTGGTCTCGTATGTTTGATTGAACTAAGAAGCACACAAGCACATTCCTCACATGTGTTGTTGTTTGTTCTATAAGCCTGTCTAATCTTTGTCTGAAAAGTGGGCTTTGGGAGTGGTTTCAGTTCTGGGTTATGTATATAAGTTTTTAAGTTTCTTTTACTAACAGATCTTTATGTAGTTTAGAGGAGAAATACATTTTATTTTACGTTATCTGTAGTACAGATTTTATGCAGTTAGAATTAAGTTCACCAAATTTAAGAAGCAAAATATAGCTGAACTGACTGAAAACTCTTTAACCTTTCATCTAGAATAAGATTGAAAGCTTTCTCATAATACAAGTTACAGTTTCTACTTAAAAGTCGTGGCTATAAAATAACGTTTTTAAAGGGTACATAGCAGATTGTTTGAGTGATTGTTTTCTCCTTTCAGGGTAGTCCTTTGGAAGGTTGGGGTGGAGGGAATGTTGGGGTGGAAGGAAATACTAGGGGGGAGAGAGCATGAATTTACTGTAAAAGTGCTACTGCTTTTCAGAACATTTTTTAACTTGTCTTTTAGTATTTCTTTAAAGCCTGTAGTTTACCTTGGGAAACAATGTTTAGCAAATCTTAATCTATTTGGGTAGATTTGATTATTACAAAGTCAATTATTAGCAACCAAATTAGGTTATTGAGCTGAGTAACGATTTTCCCCCTCAGGAATGTCCACAGAAAGCACATCAGGTGCTAAAGCGTGGCAGAGCTGGGGAAGCCAGTTATTGGACCATAGCTCTTTGTGTCACTGGAACTCTCCAGCGACTTTTAATTTGATTTTGCCTGAAAGTGCCACGTATGTCAAAGAAAGAAATCAATATTATCTTTGTTATTTTGGATACTTTTTTCTCCTTTAAAAAATTTTGAAATATATCAAGTATATCAAAAATTACAGGGCATAATACAGAGAACAGCCTGTGTACCTTCTGCATGTATTTATCATATATATATATGCAGTTTTTTTTATTTCTGTTTTCATTTCTTAATTGACCTATGGGAGTTATTTAGAAATGTTGCTGTTGTTGTTGGGAAGTGTATTGGTGTTCTTTTATTTGGTTATCTTTGTTCATTTTCTAACTTAATTGTACTGTGGTTATAGGTTCTGATCTGTACTCTATCAATTTTTTTATTTTTTATTTTTTTGAGACTTGTTTTTTCGCCTGCTATATGGGCACTTTTGGTAAATGGCCCTTGGTGCATTGAAAAAAACGTGTACTCTAAATATCGGGCTTCATATTTATACACTGAATCAAGCTTCTTGATGCTGTTCTTAAGTTCTTTATCTTACTAATTTTTATCTGCTTGATCTATCAGTTGCTAAGAAAATGTATTAAAAGCTCCCATTGATGGTCTCCCATTAAGTGTTTCCTTCTGTCAGATTTACTAAATATATATGAGATTATGTTAAGTGCACATAAATTCAATGAGATAGATTGACACAGTGGCTGCAACAGTGGGCTCAAACATAGGCAATGATTGTGAGGATGGAGTAGGACCAGGCAGTGTCTTGTTCTGTTGTACACAGGGTCACTATGAGTTGTAACCAACTCAATGGCACGTAACAACAACAACATACAAATTCAGAATTGTTCTATCATTCTGGTGAATTATTTCTTTTATCTTTATGTAGGGGTCCTTTTTATGTTTTAGGATTTATGCCTTAAAGTCTATTTTGTCTGATATTAACACAGCTAGCCTAATTTTCTTTTGGTTAGTCCATCCCTTTACTTTTAACCTTTCTGTGATGATATTTAGAAATTAATATCTCTGTACTGGGTATGCTGATTGTTACTGGGGTGTCATTGCTTCCAGGCTTTCTCATCAGACAGCCAGGAAATACATGTATACGGACACACAGAGAGAGATGTATGCACACATGCGTCTATATTTGTTCCTATATTTATCCATCTATATATATTATAAACCATGAGTTCATATTGATACCTCCAGTTCCAGTCCACCTACACAGGGTTTATTCTCACCTTTCTCTTTCCATAATTGTAACTACTTTCTCTAATAGTGAGAAACCAGGCTCTCATAATCCTCAGAGTATTCATCTGTTTGTTCAAGCCCCCTGTGAGTAACCAGTCTAACAAGGTTGATCTGTAGATTGTCTTTTTCTGTTCTTCTTTTTGCACTGCTTGCTATATATGTTTTTAATGTACTTTGACCAAATTGTCTTAGGCTGGGTTCTCTAGAGGAGCAAAACTAGTGAAGCATATATGTATAAATATATAGAGATCTATCTCAAGGAAATGGCTTACGCAGTTGTAGAGGCTAACAAGTCCCAAATCTGTGGGTCAGGGGTGAGGTGGAGGCTTCTCCTGGCTCACATAGTTGCAGGGGCTGATAAATCCAAAACTGGCAGGTCAGGCAGAAGGCTGCTGGCTCACAGAGTTGCAGGAGCTGGCACATCCCAAGATCTGCAGATCAGGCAGCAGGCTGCTGGCTCACGTCCCAAGAACTGGAAGTCAGGATAACGAGTTGGATGCAGGATCCAGAGTACATGAGCTTTGCCAGAACATCCGTATATATTGGATGCAGGCCACACCCCTAAAGAAACTCCTGTTTCAACTGATTGGCTGCTTACATCAGATCACAAATGGGGAGTGACTACATCAGATTACAAAATGGAAGATGATTACATCATTACATGACTGCCAAATCACTGAGAATCGTGGCCCAGCCAAGTTGACACACAACCTTAACCATCACAGTCCACCCCTTATCAGCTTGGTACCTGTGCACATCTCATGCACAACAGATATTAAGACTTCCTATTTATATTCATTATCTAAAGCCAGTTTTCACTGAAATTTTTCTCAAGTTCAGGTTTTCTCTCAGAAAGCTTGATTGTCATTCTTAAAGTTCATAGTCAAAATGAGTCATCAAAGTAGTACAATGTTCTGTGCTCTATTGTGACCATGTTTCTCACCTTCCTTTTTTGTTCCCTATCTTTAAAATCATTTATGTTGGTTTAAACTTCTTTTCTTGACATTAATCCATTTCTATAAGTCAATTTTCTAAGAATTCCTACTTGGAAATTTAAGTTCACGTGAAGTGTAATAATTCTTTATTGTACATAACTATTTATTTTTATGCCAGCATGAAGCATACCACTATCACCAAAGCTACTAGCGCAGGACTGGCTAACCTTCAGGTTTTAGGGCTGTGAATTGAAATATTGACTTATATCTCTTTCATGATTTCTCTTCGTTTGTGCCTGTAAGCATAACAAGAAACCCAGTTTTATTATTTTACAGTCACTCCTTTTAAAAATTCTGCTGAGATTTCAAAAAGAATCCATTTCCATTCATGATTTTTGTATGTGGGTGTGAAGTAGTGATTGATGTTTTTATATTGGTTAAACTCTGAAAAAATTATTTAGGCCATTCATAAGTATAATATAATTGTCATTGAAAACTTGCTGTTTATCAGCTACTGTGCTCTGTCCTATAGGGTTGCTGTGAGTTGAAATCGACTCCACGGCAGTGGGTTTGAGTTTTTTTTTGGTGCTAGGTGCAGGAGCACTGGTGGCACAGTGGTTAAAGCACTTGGCTGCTTATCGAAAGCTTGGCAGTTCAAACCTACCAGCTGCTCCATGAGAGAAAGATGTAGCAGGCTGCTCCATGAGAGAAAGATGTAGCAGTCTGCTTCCGTAAAGATTTACAGCCTCAGAAACCCTATGGGGCAGCTCTGCTCTGTCCTATAGAGTCGCTATGAGTCAGAATTCTCAGTGGCAGTGGGTTTGTTTTTTTTTGTTTTGGTGTTCTAGATGGTAGGGAAAAGATATTCCTTGCCCTTTAAGGAGCTCAAATTCTGTTTGGAAAAACTGACAAACTATAACCTCAAAATATGATGAGTACTCTGGTAGAGACCTCTGTTGGAAAAGATTCCGAAATGTAACATTTTTATATTTCCTAAAAGTAAATTTATAAATTCACATGTGTGAGCAGCAGATAGTCTTTTAATACAGTGTCGGAATTACTACAGGCCATTAAGTGGAACACAGTGTGGTGCAGGGACAAGTAAGTTTAGCCTGTAGCCAAGGGGGAATAGTTTGTTAATAGTTGTTATCCCATTCAAAAGGAGCTTCTAAAAATGTATGCAAGGAGCTTGCTTAGCCTATTTATTACTGAAGAAATTTATCTTTTGTTTGTTTCTCTCTTAATTTGTTTGATTTTTGATAGTGTTCCCACTGGTAACTCTCTTTAAAAAAAAAAAAAAGCCAAATTCTATCTGGGAAAAAATGGAGAGTGAAATGAGTGAAAAGGACAGTGACCTGACTACTGTTGCAGTTTATTTCAAGTCTCAGAGAATGAAACAAGCTTAGTGTTACAATAAAAATAAACAGACTCTTTGGGCCACTTGTGGTTCTTAGGGCTCTTAAATTGATACTATTCAGAAAGTTCTTTTTAATTTTGTAACTCTAGATGTAAAAATTACTACAACAGACTGATACTGTTTAAATTAATCATTGCAGGGAGCCCAGATTCTACCTCTCCTTCTACCAGTCCTACTTTCTGGAACTACAGCCGTTCTGTGGGGGATTACGCACAGACTTTAAAGAAGTTTCAGTATCAGCTCGCCTGTAGGTCACAGGCCCCATGTGCTAACAAAGATGAAGCTGATCTCAGTTCTAAACAAGCTGCAGAAGAGGTAAATGGAAAATGAAAATGACGGTTAATACTTATGATTTACAGATGGTTACAAGGTGGTCTACTTCTGGAACTTTTTTTTTTTCTTCTGAAACCTCCACTTTTACTGTATAAAAGCATAAATTTGGCACACATTAAACAGTAGAAAGGCTCCTGTCTTAACTTTGTATACCTAATACCGAGTTAGATTGTACATTTTACTTTTTATGACACATAGTTGACATTAGTGTCCTGCCTTAAACATTTTTCTGTATTCATTACAAAAAGGCTGTCAAGTATCTAATTGTACTTAACATATACAAGCCTCTTGCTATTAAAAAACATTTGAATAAGAACATTTGGCAGTCTGTAACTTCATCAGTCTAATACCAAATGTAGGTTTATTTTGTTCATAAAAGCAAGAAGAATGTTGTTTAAACATATCAGTGCAGGGAACTTTTTTAAAGACCTATCTGTGCATGGAGAGCAACTGTAAGGGGATTAATAATAAGAAAACTATTACATTTTAATTAAATGAATATTGATGTTTGTGAAGATTTTTTTCAAAGTTTAGCAAATATTTTTGAGGGTAGGTGAAAGAATGACTGATTTCCAGTGAGGTTTTTCCTCACTAATTATTCATTTTGAACATATATTTTTAATAGGTTTGGGCAAGAGTGACTATGAATAGACAACTTCTTGATCATATGGATTCATGGACAGCTAAGTTTAGAAATGTAAGTTCTGACGTTTGCCTTGGACAATATTGTTGCCTCTTAATATGCAAAATAGGTTACTAAAATATTAGAGTTGTTATTAACTAGAGTATTAGAATTATTAGAATATGAATGGTACATATATAATGATAAACATGACACCTTACGGTGTCCATTTACATGGGAATTTTTTTCCTCCATATTTAGTAAATTAATGTATTTTGAGAGAATAAAGGCACAGTATGTTTAGTTAATAAGAATTTCCTCCCTTTCCTAACTTCTCAATTTTCTTTTTCAAAGAGCTTTTCTGTCGGAGCCTACTATGTGCTTAGAATTGTGAAGGAAAGAGAAACAAGGTCCTTGCCCTCCGAAAACTTAGAGTTGAAGAATTAAGATAATATGTGCTTGTAGCGACTTCAGACTGCTTACAATTTGTTGAATATTTCTAGAGAAGAATCCCCTACTCTTTGGCCTGGTCAGCTCTTCCATATACAGAGTTAGTTAGTTCCCTTATTTTCACCCCTGTCCGTAGTAGCTGGATGGCTCTGGTTCTGTTGGGCAGAGTGACTCCCTCCTCCATTGCAGGGAGCTCCACTTATATTCTAGGCCACTGCTTCCTCTGTCAGTCTGTCCTTTAAGACTCATCCATCACTGTACATCTTCTAGAAATTTGAAGTCACCGTACTCCTTTTTTATTCTTTTGCTATAATTTAAATAGAGTATCGAGAGAGAAGAGTGAAAAATGCAGCTAACCGTCTTGAGCCAGAAGCCTATGTGGCTTTTAAAAAATAAAAATTCCTGGGTCCAACCCCAGGACTTTCTGGGGGTGAATTCTAGGCCTCTCTCCTGGCCACCTTAGGTTGTAGCCAAGGAGTAGCTGGCAGACAGGAGGGACATAATCGGTGCTGGAAGAGTAAATGCATGAAGGGATGTCCGGGAACTGTATTCTCTTTTATTTCTACCTATAGGCTTGTCTAAAAATGCTAATATATTTAAAATATAGAAAGTCTTGGTCAGGAATATTAGCTACATCGAAGAAATGATACACACAACCCCTTATCTGAATTCCTTAGGCTACAGTGTTTTGAAATGCAGAATTTTTATTTTTCAAAAGGCAGTATATATGCACCGTATATTGTGTAGCACCACCAGTGAGGTCTGGGGTAGCACCCAGTAATCAACCACTTTAATATTTCTGCAACAAAATATATAAATAGTCACACTGAGTGGGATATGGTCTAAAAATCGCTTTATGTAAATTCAGTTCTGATCTAGTCAGCAAATCAAATTTTGTTTGCTAAATGGATTGCAAAAAACTTTCAGTTTTCAGAGTTGTCTTTTTTCCCCCCAATTCAGAAGTATTTACAAGGAATTGTGGATTTGTATTTCATCAGAAACTTTTTTTTAATCCTTTTATTTTATGGTTAAACAAAAGCATAGAAACACAGGTGGTGTTGAAGTTGCTGCCAGCACGCACACGCACACATCCGCACAGCACATAACACGCAAACCAGGCTGGGTGTTTCCTTGGACAGTCTTTTCACATCCCAGAATCAGTTTGATATTGGCCATGGAAAATAGCATTTGAAATTCCTAGCCCTAAAGTAATATTCACGACCAGTTTTAAATTTAATAAATCTTTGTTTTCAGCATGGTTGGGGAATTGGGTGAACCTGCTAACTGAGAGTTACTTATGTTAGTTTGAAAAACTATTTTACTGATGAAAGCCATTGTAAACATTACATGAATAAATACATGAAAAATTAACCCTAGAAGTGTAATCTAAAGATTACCTATTCTTTTAGCTAAGCGCAATAATCATAGAAAAATTTAAGAAAAATTTAACATATAGCCAAAAGTTTTATATTCAGAGAAGACAAACATTTATGATTTAAGAATATAATTTAGTTAACTTACACACCTATAGCATATTTATTTAACATTCTCTAGACTTCAGTTAAAGAGCTCAGCTGCTAACTGAAAGGTCAACAATTCAAACCCACCAGCTGCTCTGTGAGAGAAAGATATGGCAGTCTGCTCCCGTAAAGTTTTACAGCTTTGAAAACCCTAAGGGGCAGTTCTACTCTGCCTATAGGGTTGCTATGAGTTGGAATCGACTCAGTGGCAGTGGGTTTGGTTTTTGGTTTTAGACTTCAGGTAGTTGCTCCTTCCGTTCTTTTTCAGTATACTTTATGACTCTGTTAATAATTTAAGTACATGACAGTAAAAATTTTCTAAAAGAGTTGCATGTAAAAATGAAATTATTTGAGAATTTTTCGGAATTATATGTGCAAATTCTCTCTTCTTCCTAGTGGATCAATGAGACCATATTAGTGCCACTTGTACAAGAGATCGAGTCTGTCAACACACAGATGAGACGGATGGGTTGTCCAGAGCTGCAAATAGGAGGTCTGTGAAAATAGAGCCCACCGTTTGGTTTACTGTCAATGAATCTGCCACGTTAGATAGTGATTAGTGCCAAGGAGAAAGAAAAAGCAAACAACAGTGTTAATTGTTAGACGAAGGGAGTTGAAATTGTAGGATGATCAGGGACGACCTCACTGACTTTTGTGAAAAGACCTGATGGCAGTGAGGGAGCTAGCTAGTGTTTGAATTACGGGGAAGAGCCTTCAAGTTCTTCTAGAGACCTCATGAAGAGTAATCTGTGTTCCGTGTATTTTGTTTTTAACAGAGGCTAGTATTACTAGCTTGAAGCAAGCTGCTCTGGTCAAAGCCCCTCTCATTCCAACTCTGAATACAATCGTGCAATATCTAGATCTTACACCCAATCAGGAATACTTGTTTGAAAGGATCAAAGGTAACTATTAATTTGAAGGGGAAACAACAAGAGTTTTTCCACTGCCTTGAGATTTTATAAATAAAGGAAACAATTTTTGAAAAAAATGTGATGTATGATCTTATGTTTTATAAATACACATATTTAATTATGATTTAATTAAGGCTTATACCTAACAACTTTTGGGTTTTATATTTTCTGTGCTCAGAATTGTCAAAATAGTATAGTTAGCATTAAATATGTTAACTAATAAAGGGAAACTATTAAATATGAGCTAAATGGGCTCGAGTGAATACTTCAGTCAGTTTTCTGCTCTTAAACTACCAAGAATGGGTACCGCTGTGACATTCTTTATAGTTGCAGCATGCTGATCTTGATTTCTCTTAACTTCTTTTTTATTTTATTTATTTTCTTGTTGAGAATATACACAGCAGAACATAAACCAATTCAGCAATTTCTACATGCACAGTTCAGTGACACTGATTGCATTCTTCAAGTTGTACAGCCATTCTCACCCTCCTTTTCTGAGTTATTCCTCCCCCATTGACATATATTTCTCTTAACTTTTATAATTCGTATTTGATGTTACTTCCTTATATTTCTATTATGTTTTTATTATTTGGAGGAAAATGTGATCTTCAGAGGGGACTTAGTTGAGAATCAGGAAATTTAGCCCCCATCACTGCCCCACACACATCGTTTATGTCTTCCTTCTTAGCAAACAATTTATAAAGTTAGAATTTTTTTTTTTTTAATTTGGATGAACTTTAAAAACCTTCTCATCACTAAAACAAGTCTTAGAAATAGCATTTCAGTATTCAGATCATAAATCTTAATTTGAAAATGTTACGGTGTTTCCCCTGCCCCCATGTTTGGATTGGGATTCAGGAATAAGCATTTCTTCTTGACTTTTTAAAAACTTTTCATGTAAGGAGAATTCAGATATACACAAGACTGGACAAAGTAGTATGCTCAGCCTTCTTGCATACATCACCCAGCTCCAGCAGCTGTCAGTCCGTGGGCAAGCCTGCCCTGTCCATCCCCCTCATCTTCTTCCTTCATTCCTGTATTATTTGAAGCAAATCCTATATGTCACTATCAGTTCATCTGTAATTATTTCCACATGTATCTCTAAAAGATAAGGCCTTTTAAAAACATCCCCACAATACTATTCTCACAGCAGATATTTTTTAACAATTTCTTTGTATCGTGAGATAACCAGTCTATGTTCAAATTTCCATCCTTCTCATTAAATGTATAACTTGTTTTGGTATTGTTTGTTTGAATCAAGATTCATATAATATCTACACGTTGCGATTGGTTTGATATCTCTTAAGTTTCTTTTAAACTGTAGGTTTCCCCTCCATCTTTTTTTTTCTTTGCAGTTTACTTGTTAGAAGAACTGGATTGTTTGTCTTGTAGAGTTTTCCACGATCTGCAATTTACTGGTTACATCCCTGTGGTGTAGTTTTACATGATCTTTATTCTCTGTATTTCCTGTAAATTCAGATTCAAATTTTTTGGCAAGATTGCTTCATAGATATGGGGGTATTTTTATCTCAAAAAAAGTGTATCTGTGTGTGTACATATACACAAAGTATGTTGTTGTTGTGTGCCATCGAGTGGCTTCCAACTCATAGCAACCCTGTAGGACAGAGTAGAACTGCCCCATAGAGTTTCGTAGGCTGTAAATTTTATGGGAGTGGATCGCCAGGTCTTTTCTCCGAAAGAGCTGCTGGTGGGTTCGAACTACCTACCTTTTGGTTAGCAGCTGAGCACTTAACCACTGCACCAGGGCTCCTTGTACAAAGTCTGTAAAGTATTATTTTATATAAAATATACAAAAAAGTTTATAAGAATAATATAATGAGTCCTTCTAGATTCAGCAATTCCAACAACTTGACATATTTGATTCTCTTTCCATAAACAGACACATATTTTTTATAATAGATATTTTTTGTTGTTTTTTATAATTGTTTTTTTTTTTTGCTGTACTATTTGAAAGTTGTAGACATCATTATTTTTCAGCACACATTTCCTAAAAATAAGAACATTCACCTACATAACCACAATACAATTATTACACCTTAAAAACTGGCAGTAATTCTGTGTCATCCGATACACAGCTTATATTCCAGTTCCCCAATTGTCCAAAGAATGTTTGTAGCCTTGTGTTGTTCTTTTTAGTCTCTTTTGCTAGAACAGCTCTTCTGTTTTTCTTTCCCACATGACACTGACTTTTTGAAGAATCCAGAACAGTAGTCTTGCCCACGTTTTGGATTTATCAGATTCTTTTTTCACAGTGGTGTTTAATTTGATCTTCTGTGTCTTGTATTTCTTTCTGTTTGGGTGTTTTGATCAGGTTTTTAAGATGATAGGCTCTCCTGTTGTAATTCCTTGGCCTTTTTTTTTTTTTTAAATATTCTTAGCTTTTTTAACTTCACCTTTCTTGCCACAGAACTCTCTCAGGGAGGCTGTATGAGCTCGTTTCGATGGAACAGAGGTGGAGATTTCAAAGGACGCAAGTGGGATACAGACTTGCCCACAGATTCTGCTGTAAGTCCCTAGTTTTACTTTGTTTTTCCAGCTTAACATTTTTTTTATTGGATTTATGTGTATGTTTTCTTGGTTTTGCTGTTAATTAACTATGAGTGTGAATGAAGCACTTAACAGGAAGTTAGTTGTGCCCTACCTTTCTAGGGTTGCCACAAAAAAACAAAAATGGAGATCAGATATTTAGGGAATAGAAGTGGCATTTAAACACATACACTTTAGTAATTTTGTAGGCTGGAGTATTTCAACTTTTTCACTTTGAAAAGGAAGGCTTCCTATCAAAATATAGACCAATTTGATGACAAATATATTTTTCCATTTTAAATGTTGAGTGGATTGTTTGAATTAAGGCTGGTCTTACCTCTTAAATACACTGATTTAAGAGAGGAGAACGGTTCTAATTAGTGAATTTCTTATCTTTATAGGAAATAATACTCTTTATTAAAAGACTAGGTGTGCTATCTGAATTATGTTTTTTGTACTTTTATTCTATAGATTTCACCTCATAAGTATAACCACTTGAAAACATTTTTGCCAGTTCTTTTTTATATGCAACAATTAAAATTTGGAGTCATTATAAATACAGATTTTTTAAAGGGCTCCATCCATGATACATTTCCGTGCTGACTTTGAAAAACTGTTTCCTAATCTTCAGATCATCATGCATGTATTTTGCACCTACCTTGATTCCAGATTACCGCCACATCCTAAGTACCCTGATGGAAAAACCTTTACTTCTCAGCACTTTGTTCAGACACCGAATAAACCAGGTATAAACCTCTCCTAAGAGAATGAGTTGAGATCTGTACATGAAATCTCTCTAGTGGTTCTGTTTTTTATTTTAATGTAAAGATATTTCCTTTACAGATGTTACAAATGAGAATGTATTTTGCATTTACCAGAGTGCCATCAACGCTCCCCATTATGAGCTAATCTACCAGAGTCACGTCTACAGTCTTCCAAAGGTACTTCTGTATGTAGAAGTGCTATTATAGAATGTCATGGATGACTTGCTTTGATAATCTTTTTTTAAATTGGATTCCCTTGTTTATGGAATAGGTAAACTTTTTAAATTAGGGAAAATGTCTTCCTTGTATATATATATTTTTTAAACTATAGAAGTAATATATGTTTAATTTGGAAAAGTATAAAGAAAAAAGAAAAGTCACTAATTCCATTACTCAGAGGCAGCCACTGTTAACATTTGGGTATATTACTTTTTGATAAATTTCATTTTGATCTTCTCTGCATTTTTTTTATGGGTACAGATTATATTGTTTATGTAGTGCTATATCCTTCTTTTAAAAATGAACTTTCTGACATAATTTTCCATGCCACTAAAAATCTTCATAAAAAATACTTTCTAATGACCATAAAAAACTTCATCATAAGATTATAGTATAATTTGTTCAACCATCCTCCTACTGTTGGACATTTTGGATGTTTCTAATGCTTCGCTATTCTAAATACTGCTGAATATTCATCTTTATTCATAAAGCTATCTGTATTTTGGATCATTTCTTTAGCCCAAAGTTCCAGAAGTGGAATTCTAGGTCACAGAATACTTTCAAGGCTTTTAAAATATAGAATCAAATTACTTTATTAAAAAAGTCATCATACCAGTTTACATGTCTGTCCAAATATTGTATCCTTGATTGCAAACATTTCTATTGATGACCTCTGTAGTTATTTTTGTTACCAGAATGGCTATAATCATAAATTGTGTTCTCTGATTCCCAAGAGGGGATATTTATTTCATTTTTTTCAAGTTTGATATTATAACTTTATAAGTGTATAAATATTTTGGGCCATTGAAGTTCCTGTGAGTAACCATGCAAATCCTTTTCTTTCTTTCATTCTTTTCTAAGAAACATTCTTATGTCCTCAGATTCTTGAGTAAAAACACTAAATTAGAGTAAACAGGTAGAAAGTTAGTTAATAAATTGAAAAGCCAAATTAGGATCTATTTTTACAGACCAGCAATTATGTATAATAATTTTGTTTAAGGGCTAGCAAAATGCTGTCTAGTAGTCCCTTGTAATAAAATAAATTTATATTTAAAATCTTATATACTGAGGTTGTATAAGATTTTATAACCTTAATATACTGCGCACCATCTAGTTCTTCTGGGCTCAGGCTGTTAGAGACTGTGGTACTTGTGGTCCATTTGTCCTTTGGACCATTATTTCCCTTTTGTCTGTGGTTTTCTTCATTCTCCTTTGCTCTGGATAGGATGGGACCAGTAGATGTGTCTTAGATGGCCCTCGCAAGCTCTTAAGACCCCAAACGCTACTTACCAAAGTTGGATGTAGAGCATTTTCTTTATGAACTTTGTTGCGCCAATTGACCTAGATGACCCGCACAACCTTGGCTGTCATCTTTACAGGTGCAGATTGCTAGGTCTTTCTCCTGTGGAGTGGCTGTTGGATTTGAACCACCAACCTTTTGGTTAGCAGCCGAGCACTTAACCATTGTGCCACCAGGGCTCCATCTCTCCTCTCTAGGCCTTCATAAATGTTGTTCTCCATGTAATGAACCTCCCAGTCTGTTTAACTGCGTCTCATCTTTCAGGTCTCAACTTAAAAATCTCTTCCTCAGGGAGGCACATCCCCTTCCTCATCATTCCCTGCCCCTCTGTGTTCCCATGGTACCCTGTGCCTCCTCTCTCATAACAGTCATCACAGTTTACTGTAATTCCTAGTTTACTGTCTGTCGTTCCTCATAGACTGGAAGGTCTTGATTACATGGATCCTGTCTGTCTTGTTCACCACAATATTCCCACTCCCAGGCACAAAATAGGCACTTTGTTTAATGAATGAATGACAGTCTGAATTATCCAGCTTTCTGAGTTAGTGGAATGTGAGTCTTTGGTTTGGCTTGGTTTGGTTTAAATCTTACTGTCTTTTTTTGTCTTTGTTCCAGGGCAGAAATAATATGTTTCATACGTTGTTAATGTTCCTCTACATCATAAAGACCAAAGAGTCAGGAATGCTTGGGTAGGTATTTATGTTTTAAAAATACAAGCACTTAATTTGTTATTCTTTTTCTTCCTATGTTAAGATTCTGTAGAAGGCAACAACATATACTGAAAAGATTTGTGGTCTGAATAACAAGAGATATGGCTTCTTGTACCAGCTCAGCCCTGTAACCAGCTAGCTCTGTGATCTTGGGCAAGTCTATTAGCCCCCAGAACCTCCATTTCCCTGTTGGTAAAAGGGCGTTTGGACCCCATCATTGCCTTTAAAATTATGTTGCCCAGAAGAGTAACTCTGAGATAGGTATGTCAGGCTCTTGAAAATAAAAAGAAACTTGGCATCTGTTTTTTTCCAGTCATTGCATTTCAGACGCGCAGCCTTCTACAAAATGTTTACACTTCCAGAGAGAATGAGTCAGTACCCATTCCACAATGTTATTAACTGAGTTGCAAAAACGGTCACTTGAAATTATTTACTCTTTACTCTAAATGCTTAGTAATGAAGTTTAAATATTGTTACAACGAATTCAGAAGCGCTATACTGTTATTTTTATTATTCTAAATTTTATTGTATCAAATAATATTTGAAAAAATTGGACCCCAGCCAGAATCTTCTGGTAATGCATGGGAGTCTGAAGATGTGGGTTCTGGTTTTAGCTCTGCCCTCACTAAGTAACTTTAGGCTAACCAAATGTAACGTTGAAGGGCTTGGAACGGAAAATATCCATGGTCACTTCCAGTTCTGATATGCTGTGCTTCTTTTAAGTTTTATAATTTAGAGGTTGTACATGCTTTAAGACTGGAGTGCCATAGAGTAGCCACGTCACATGTAGCCCTGGACACTTGAAAAATGGCTAGTCCAAACTGAGATGCGCAGTAAGTGTAAGTGTATCCGCCAGATCCTGAAGACCTAGTACCAAAAAAAATGTGAACTATCTTGTTGAGAATTTGTCTGTTGATTACACGTTGAAGTAATATATTGGATATATTGCATTAAATGGAATATACATCGATCCTTATTATTCACAGAGTCCATACTTGTGAATTCACCTACACTAAAATTTATTTGTAACCCCAAAATCAATACTTATGGTGCTTTTGAGGTCATTTGTGGACATGCGCAGAATGACGAAAAATTTGAGTCACCAGACTTGGCACATTCCCAGCTGAGGTCAAACAAGGTGTCTTGTTTCAGCTCTTACACTGTAAAAGAGCATCCTTCTCGAGGTCTGTTTAGTGCCATGTTTTTCATATTTCTGTGCTTTTTTTTTTTTGTGATTTCGCTGTTTAAAGCCTCCCCCAAGCATAGTGCTGTAGTGCTGTCTAATGTAAGAGCAAGAAGGCTGTGATGCCCTCACGGAGAAGATAGGTGTCTTAGATAAGTTTCCTTCAGGTGTGAGTTGCAGTGAGATTGGTTGTGAGTTCAGTGTTAATGAGTTAACAATGCATTTTAAATAAGATGTCTTTCAACAGAAGCACACATAAACCAAGGTTCTTTATTGATTAGTTGATGAAAATGTCACCACAGACTCGTAGGAACCTAACCCTATGTTTCCCCTGGGAGCGGTGGTTCGGTATTTGTTAATCCAGTGTTTGCAGCAATTTTATAGAACCTAACTACCACAAATGACGGAAACTAACTGTATTATTTAAAATAATTTTACCTGTTTCTTTTTTTATTATTATTTTTTTATTGTACTTTAGGTGAAGGTTTATAGAACAAATAGTTTCTCATTACACAGTCAGTACACATACTGTTTTATGACATTGGTTAACAACC